CCCGTGGGAACCCTCCCCGCCCACTCACTCCTTACCCAGCAAACTTGCCTGCTAAATTGCTATTTTTCCTTTTTCCGATCATCAGGTGTTCTGCTGTGCCGGGAGATTTAGATTAGTTAGGAAGCAGGAAATGGTTGGATTTCTTGGTTTCTAGCTAGTCTTTAGATCTTGGGCTCTGCTTTTAAGCACAGCCGAACCTCCCTTAGGACTGAAGGTTCTATTATTCAGTGCAGACAAGCAAATTTGAGAGACTGAGCTAGCCGATGGCAGATAGATCACTGAATGATTCTGTGAGCAACTCAATCTGCCTGCTTGCTTTGCCTGATTTTGGGTAAAAGTTGCTCTTTTTTAATAAAAAATTCAATATTTATATAAATATTTATAATATTTACATACAAGCCATGCCCAGCCAGTCACATGACCACCAAGCCACACTCACAAATTAGGCCATGCCCACAGAACCAGTTAGTGGTCCCTGGGATTTAAAAATATGAGTTTGGTGGTCCCTGAGGTCCAAAAGGTTGGCGACCCCTGATTTATATTGCTCCTCGCAAAAGTCACTACATTAAGAAAACCATTTATTTCTGTCCCAAACCAATCGTAAAACTATGTTGAAATGAGTGGAGATAATTACTTTCAATAATATTGAAAGTATTAGAGTCAAAACAAGCAAAAACGTAGCTAAAAATTAACAAAGGAATAAAGCAAGGCAATTTCATTAGAGGATAATACAATGCCACATAAATAAAAGGCAATAGAATCAAATTTAATAATTTAGAAGTCATATCTAGAGCAACTCTAGAAGTTGACAATATACATAAATGAAATGGACATTTCCCTCCATAAACAGGAAATTTGGAATTTACACAATTAAAAAAGCAAATTACCTAAAAAAATTTAATCCTTCCATAGGTTTGTTCAACTTTCTATGCAATGGTATAAATGCATGACTAAGACATAAAAGGCTGCAAAGAATAATCCTTAATGCTATCAGTGCAACTGCTCTTAAGTATATGAATAAGTATGAGGACAAGGGGCTAGATCACAATAAACCCTAACCTTAAAAAAAATTCTACCAATTACAATAACTCACTCAGGAGACCAACCATTTGAAGAGAAATCTATAAATCTTAATTTCAGGAGGGTAGTCTCTGTCTATCGGGGAAGAAAAGAAGGAAGAAGAGCTTCATGTTATAAGTGAAAATACATCCTTCCTCATCCTACTGACGTAGGTTTTCATCAGGAGAGAAGAAAGAAAATGTTTGCCTTTAGATTTTAGGTTACAGGTAAGAACAATTACTCACAGAAAGAGGAAGTACTTTAGCAGGGAAATGTTCAACTGGAAACAAACATAGATTGCACAAGGAAAAAAACATTAAAATTATCCCTTTAAATTCCAGATTACAAGTAAATGCACTCAGTTAAGAAAGATGAAATTGATAAAGGAGAATATTTCTACCTCAGAGTGAAATGAGAGGCCCTTGGTGCCTCCGAGGTTGGTTGTTTACTTGTAGACACTTCATTACCCAGATTTGGTAACATTATCAGTTCCCGTAAGCAGTGGGGTTTGCATTCAATTTATATTCTGGTGGCATGCCCTGTCAACGTTGATGGGAGTGGTTTTAGAGATTCTTTGATTGGGCTAATTCCTGTTAACTTGTTTGGCAGTTCCTTGATTGGGGTATTATTCTTGGTTGGTCTGATGAAATTATGAAAGATGAAATTATTTTAGTTTGCAATTTTTGATTATCAACATAAGCTGTTAAAAAAGAGAGTGTGTGTCCATGTTTGAGTTCCTGGTAAGAAATCTTGTCTGGCAGCAGGCTGGAATTAATCTGCAAAGACCAGGAAATTGACAAACAGCAACTGAGAACTATAATTACTCAAAGTCCAAAAGGACAATAGGTATTAAGAGCAGTCATAGACAGAGCCTTCAGAACATAGATAGGCTGTAAAAAAAAAACCTCTTTCCAAGAGGTGAGTGGGACAATTATTCTTTCCTGAGTTTACTTGCCTCTTCTATATTTCACCTCTTTGCTGGAGAACAGAGATTAAACATACGTGGGACTCTGGCTTCATCCAGTGTATTCATTCATAACATGTTTTGCTTGTTTCTTATCTCAGAGAAGTGCTAAAAGGTAAACTCCAAGGCTTCTCTCTTTGGTGATTCATAGCCAAGCCTTTGAAATGTTGAGTCTGGTCTAACATCTTGTTTAGAGACAAGTATAATTATTTAGTAGGTATATTATATTAATTTCTGGCCAAGAATGTTGTCTGAGGCACTTTATTAACCATATTTATAAAAGTCAACGCATAGCTTTTCTCAAGTCATATGAAAATACTTGAGGTGTAAATACTGGTTCTTGGATGGATTTTGTTAAAAGTTTGCTTGGATTATTTGGGATGCAAGAATAAAAAATGCAGAAGGCTCCAGTTTGAGTTCAGATGTGATGTTTCATTGGAGTGTTATGATTTAATACAATAATTCTTCAGTCTTCAAGTCAGTTCTAACTTACTGTAGAGGTCTTACCTACTCATATATATACTACTATCTAGAAATCTCTGTCAAAAAATGAAAATACTCCTTTTAAAAAAAGTATCTACTTCGTGTAACAATGCTCATGATGCCTTGATTGCTCCCATCCTTCATTTCTCTTTTAAAGACTGTTCCTATTAATTCTTCTTCAATATCTTGTGCTATTTGCTTGAGATGTTTCTATTATCCCTAGCAGTATCTACTATATCCCAATCAGAGCAAGATATGGTTGCTATTTGCTTTGGGGGACAATCAGTAATTTGTGAAAGGTGACATAAATCCTAATAAGATCTCCAAACTGGCATTTCCAGCCAAGTCATTCTCACTTCTGCATCTTTCTTACTTATAATAAATGAAACAGCAAGAAAGGATATCTGCTGTTATATGATAGCAATCTGAGTCAATCATGAAGATAGCAAAATACTACAATACATAAAACCCTGCTGCTTGTGGGTGATGAAAGTTTTAGCCCAACACAAGGCTAGATGGGGAAACATACAAATTATCAATAAAATTATAAGTTTGGTGGGCCTAATTCAGGAAAATAGATGTATTAAGGCTGTGCAGTTGCCATACAATCTTAGAAAAAATGGATTTAAGTTTTTTTTCACCACAGTGCAGTCCAAACACCCCTTTCCTTCAAATTTTCTAGTTTTATGACTAATTATACTGAGTGAGAATATTAAAATGATATTCACTCAACTACTTATTGCTTCATTCAAAAAAAAATGGTTTCAGAGAGTAATTTTCATACTGACAAATACCAGTCATCCATAGCTATCTCTATCATCTTAATAAGTGCTGCAGAGCAACCAGCAACCCAACATATTGACACACGTTAAAGTCAATGGCAACTTCTTGAAAACCCAAATCTGTCCATCCGAAGTCCAATTGTTTCATACTCTCACAATATGGCTACTAGCTCATCCATTCTCTATTCAGTGCTTTAAACAGAACTTAATTTGAAATGGGGTCAAACTTCGCATTCATGAGAAGAAATAATATATTTCCAAGTGTGTCCAGAGTGCATTTTCTTCCATACTTAGGAAACATAACTAGCTCAAATATAGCTGGAATTTAAAGCTCTTAACAACTTTTACAATTCTGGGCAAACCTGGACTCTTGTATCATTCTTTCTTCTTCTATTCAATCATGTCCAATTCTCAGAGACTGCCTGGACAAGTCTTCTTCTAAAAGCTTTCAAAAGTGTTTTGTCATTGGCTGCTTCCTAGGACTGAGAGAAAATGATTGGCTCAAGGTAATCAGAGCTATACACATTCACACTTACACACCCATTCTAGTAGGACAAAGGCAAAACCTTCAGATTCTAATCTATTGCACATATAGCCATTATTCACTCTACCCAATATTATTCATATAAACATTAAATTGTTAACCATTAATACAAATGGCACACAGCTTCCATGATTTTTATTCAGTAAAGATCAACCCACTCAAATTTCTGTTTCCCAGCTCTGCCCATAGCACATGGTAAAAATAGCGAGAAATTATTAACAATAATATGCTTGGGCTCCTGATTTTTCCTCATTTGTGGAAGCTGCAAATTTAATCCAGAAAGCACCACAATCCTTTCTTTCTATCTAAATTTCCTAACCTAACCTTGTTATTAGCTTGTTGTTTTTCCATAAATTTCTGTATTATGCCTATAGTCCTACTTTCTATCTACACATACAGAGAGACATGTGGAAGTAGGAGACAAATAGGAGTGCAAATTAGAGTAGGAAAATTACATGAGGTTTTAAAGTTAAACAAGCTGATACTCGTTGCATTTCAACAAAATATGGACTTGGTGCCTTGTGAATAAACACTTCTCTGCTCTGAATTAAAGCAATTTGCAGTCTTGTGGCACTGGTGATTCTCTTTTTGTTTCTTCAATATTTGAGTAGAAAAATAGAATGGATGCTAATAAATGCATTGTAGTTTTCCTCTCATTTCCAGGTTATTACACTGTTTTAACATTTATGCATGTTTGTAGATATTGCATAAACCACATTGACCTTGGAACAAGTTTCAACATTCCCATTTCCTCTCAAGGCATTAAAACTTACAAAACAGGTTTCAGTGCTTTGACTGCAAGAGAGAAATCACTTTTGGGCGGGAACATAACTGAGTCTTATTGCTTGAGGAAGCATACCTAAAAGCAGCAGCTCCTACAAAGAAGATAAGAAACTCTTCTTAGCATTTCCATAAGGAAGACAGCGTCAAAACAAGCCATGGAAATTAGAAATTTGAGCTAATTATCTCCGTAGGAAGAGAGGGGTATCTACAAAAACAGAAATAAAACCAGAAATAAAATAAAATTGTTCGTGACGTTTTTCATCTCAACATCTTCATTGTGGAATCACAGGGGTTTATAAAGTCAAGACAGCATCTCAAGCTCAGAATATCCCGCTGACAAGGTAACACCAAGGATTGTGGTGTTTTATCACCCAGCTCCAGAGGCATGAGTTGGTTCCCAAAAAGCCTTGGGAATTCCCAAGGGAGCACAGGGCAACTGAAAAATCGACTGGAAGATCTGAAAAAGCCCTGGAAGAAAGAAGCAAGCCCTTCAATGCTACAGCATAGTGAGACTGCCAGGCTAGCTGTGGATTCCTTTCTGGAACAAGGAGAAGCTGGCTATCTGCAAGTCATTGCAAAAGAAAAAGAACTGCCCTTCCTCTCCACAATGGACATGGCTTACATGAGCCAGCACATCCAAAGCATCCCAGAGTCTCCAAAGAAGGGGCTAGAGGCAGGACTCTCAAGAGCTGACAGCATGGACAGGGAATCTCTCCTCTCTGAGATGACATCTGGGACATACTTCCCATTAATGTCAGATATTGATCCCCCTCAACTGGAGCTCGGTTGGCCAATGATGTCTTCTGTCACAGTGTTCAACCGAACAGAAGTCAGTTTGTATTTCCAAAGGGAGAAGGCAAACAATGTGAAAGAATTACATCGATCTCTAATAAGCAAGGCCAAGACAGTAAGTTGAACATTTTAAGGCATTTAAAAAGAGGAGATAAAGCTAATCGGTGTAATATCTAAAATATATAAAAAATTTAGAACTACTGGCTCCCATTTTAATTTTTTTTTAAATTCTTACTCTGCAATATGCCTTTAATGTATTACTTGATGGGTTTATTTTTGTTATGTTTGTATAACTTTTATATTTAACAAATGGTATACATGCAGAAAGAAATGAGCTATGAAGATAACTCTTTGTGCCTTTGTTCTTTGACTCTTAAGTTTTCTGAGCTAGTCAACAGAACTGGCCACTTTTTATTTTGAAGACTGTTGAAAGAATTTTAGGAACAGAACAATGTTTATTGTCCCAATGATTAGGTGGCATATTGTTTGTTAAAATGAAATCATAGCAGTTTTGGAATTTATACTTCACAGTTATGGAGCAAAGAAGTCATAGCATGCCCTGGATATCTTATGCAAAGATCAGAGGAGTAATATGCTCTTTGTTTTAGAACCAGAATTTCCATATTGTGTTAACCTGTGAGGAAAATGCTTATAACTGCATTATTTAAAGTAGGTATAGCCCTTAGGTGGTAGATAAAAATATTCCATAGACACACCTAGCTATTGAGCCTTCAATTTGGCAGCCTTTGCTATAGTCAGCTGAGGCTTAACAAAGAAGTACTTTGATGAGTAATAAATATGGAAAACATTACATACAATGTGACTTTCCCAGGGAACGTTTATGAATTAGATGTCAGGTTTCTTTTGTTTTCCAAGATATTTGCTTCAAAACTCAAATACCATAGATTCCCCACTTTGGCATATTTTATAGAACATAGAACACACACACACACATATGTTCTATTCTGTTTTTCTTTTTCTTTAGTTCAATGGCATGCAATTCACAGGGACTATCTGTCTAAGTCCCTGCAATACTTTTGGCAAAGTTTTTCAGAAATGGATTGCCATTGCCTCCTTCCCACAACTGAGAGGAAATGACCCAATGGGCTTTGCTCTTAAGGTGGAACTGGAACTTATGGTCTCCCAGTTTCTAGTCAGATGTCTTAACAATTACACCAAACTGGGGTACATTTGTATAGAAATCATCCTGAAATATTCCTGTGTGAATGTGCACTTCCATTCAAATTACTGAATGGAATTTTTTTTTCAAATTACTGAATGGAAAATTGTAAGAGATGTGCTAGACTTGAATTTTAAATAGATTAGGAATTCATTCCTATTCAGGTTAATAAAACTGATTTTCATTCTGTTTATGCTGGAAGGTTTTGGGTAGTCAGCATAGTTAGCCCACTCAACAAAATTAGTTTAAAATAAAAATAATGAATACTATTTGAGGCTAATATTATACATTACAACTAAAAGTCTGAAAATACTGCATAAAATAAATGGGAATTATTATTTTAAAAAATATAATTCTGTTTTGCAAATAGCTTTTCCTTAGAAATTCTGAATAATTCAAAATCAGGTGGAAGAAAAATGCCTGATAGGACATAGGATTTTTTTTTCTTTTTGAAAAGAGGCTTTCTGTATAAAAGAAGCATTTAGATTATCTTTCTTCTATCCACTAATTTACTCCTATAAATTTATCTCAAATATACAGGATGAGAATCTGGGGAGGGGGGTGTAACCGGGCTGACAAAAATACCTATGAAAACAAAGCAAAATGAATGCCAATGCTAAAACCAGTAAACTTGATGGCTCAAATAAATACCTATAGGATTTTCTTTCTTAGATAAATCTAGGCCACTCTGTACATTCTTTCAGAGAGGGTGTGATTCCCACAGGCAATGAGCAGGCAGGATGCCTCCTGAAAGTTGAAGTGCTCCCAATTTTTTGCTCTGGAGAAAGCACTGCAATCCAATTTTTTCTCCAGGATGTTTTGGCACAGACGGTAAAAGGGCTGCCATAGTTTAATTAGGTGTGGTAGTGGAGTTTACTTTCTAAGTGTAAACCATCTTCAGTTTCGGCAGGCAGAAGATAAAGGCATGAATGAATAGATAAACAGGGCTTCATCCATTTGAAGTGGAGACTGTTCTCTTGATAGAGCCTAAAATCAAATCTTCAGAGCAGTAGATACACTAGGTACATGTGGTTTTCTGAGAACATGGCACAGGAAAGTCTTACAAAATAAGAAGCATGAAAGGCATGGATAATGTCAAATTATTCATTTACCAGCAGGTAAACACTGAGGTTTTACTGGCTTCTGCCACTCCCACTAATCCAAATAGGCTCTCTCCTACTTCAGTTGACTCTTGAGCTTTTTGTGGAGGGAGATGGATAGGCATCTTCCAAACAAATCATTTGGTTTCTATAAGATGCCTCTGGGGTCAGTGTGAAATACAGAGACATGTTTTAAAGTAAGAACAATGTTTGAGGAGGACACTCTGTTTTATAGAATGCTGATTTAATTAAACCAATTTCTAAAAACCCATAGGTAGGTCAAGAAGGTTAAGCAACCCGAAGTAGGATTATTATGGGCTACAAGCGGTGTTCAGACATGCCATATTAGGAGCCCAAGAGTCAAAAAAATTCCTAATTTTTTTTTGGAAAAGTAATTAAAGGTAGTTCTATGGGATTAATATGTTTGGAGTGGATAATTGTAGATAATTTTAAATTGCAAAAGAGAGATGCTTCTTCAGAATGCTCCATCTACATTTGAAATTCCTTGCAAATAGAAAACATATTGTAGGACAAAGTTAGCCTATCTTTTTTCCTCTGAACTGTTTTCTTAGTTGATAAGATTTTTTGCATATAGGAAAACATTTAAAATGAGATGTAAGGAGAGCTCTCTGGACCTCAAGGCAAGACTCTCAAAATCGAGAATTTGCTAATGGGCATCTGGATTTTTGCACCTCAGATACAGTATATTTATTTCCTTTCTTCTCATTTCTTTTCGTTCCTGACCATCTAATTAAGTCTGTGGAAGGCAAGGGGCAAGTAATGTTCTGCCAGGGGAAATACAGTGGGCCTCTAGGCCCCAAGGCAACTACTTCCCCATCTTCACAATATTTACATCACTGTAATCTCTTCAAAATGTTGCCACCCTATTCTACTATATTTGTAGCCAAGTTTTCTATCAATTCTTCATGGAAATGTTCTGCTTGTCAGGAGAGAAAGCAGCAAGAAAATGGATTAGGTGCACTCCCAATTTGTACATACACTTCATGGTAATCAAGATTTATAATAGAGACTAATTACCTGGTTCTCTCCTGGAATGCTATCATCTGGAATATCATCATTATAAAATGTTAATGGACAGGGAAAGCAATTCCGGAACAAATCTACCAGTCTGTAACATGCAAGGCGTCTTAATCATGCATATATAAGGGGAAGTGTCACTAGATTAATAGCTTCTCATAATTCTGTGTGATGGAAAGGATTATATATTGTAAAAGCTCAATAACTCTGGAATGCACTCATTTGCCCATACCTTTTTCTGGATTCTCCCATAAAAACAGAGTGAAGAAAAGAAAAAGATTCAAAAATAACTAGTGAGGAAGCACTATGGAACAGTTTCAAAACTGACCTTTTAAGTGCTAACTATTTTTGCCCTTCTTGTTTTATTAAAGCAAACCAATAGTGCAATTCTATGCATATATTTTCAGAAAAGGCCTTGATGAAAGTTTAAAACAATTGCAGCCTGAAGCACTTAAAAAGGGTCTTTTATATGGGTTGTTTAATAGGGCAGGTCCACTGATCGCCTTTTGACAATGTCTTCTGTTCTGCTCTCCACTTTACCCTAACCTACCAACAATTGTGCAGGTGATTGCAATTGTGATGGATCAATTCACAGATATGGAAATACTCAGTGATCTGATAGAAGCTTCAAACAAACGTCATGTTCCTGTTTATCTGATCCTTGATGAAAAAAACCTAAAGGAGTTTACAGAAATGTGCAATAAAATGGAGGTCACCATGGATGACTTTCCGGTATGTTTTCAATCCGTTTTAGTATTTTTTTTCTTTTACTTAATGTCAATATTAAAATACAATGTGATAGAACATGAAAGTGAAGAAAAAAGACAAGTTTAAGTCTGCTTTTATTTCAATCATTCTCATCACCACCCAGATGAGCATGGGTTGGTTTGTTCAGCTAAAGCCAATAATTGAAATCAAAGGACAACAACAAAAACAACAACAACAGCAACAGTATAAGGTCTTTCTTCCTTCCTAGGGTCCTTGATAGACCATTGACTGTTTGGAGATCCAAAATGATTCTCTTATCAAAAATCAATTCCAAGATACTTTTGCAAGCATATTTTCCCCTTTTCTATTAAGTGGTATGATATCACTAATACATCTTTATTGGATGATTGAGGGTTGAGTTATAATCCATTTTCTATGTAAAACAACATGACTGAAGCATAAGGTGCAACTGGATGGCAAGTAAAAAATTTAAATAAGTATTTCTTTTCAAAGAATTTGAAGATTCCAAGTAAAATATGGCTTCCAAGGCTGACAGAATTATGTGTTGATAGATATCATATATCCAACCTTTGCCTTCCATATACCCTTTGAACAAACAAAAGTCCAGAGCAAAAAAGTGCCCAAAGTTAATACATATATGAACCGTATTTACTTGTGCTTCAGTATAAAAGATGAAAAGCTGTCATTGCTTTTATCCAATTATTTTAATTGGCTGAGGCAAAATTAAAGATGGCACAGAGTCACATTTGCTTAAATCCAGGCTTGCCACCTTTATATATTACCAATGAAGTGAAGTTTACTTCTGATGCTCAACAAAATTGAAAGGTGCCTTAGGCATAAGACTGTATTCAATCAGACCAGGAGAATGTACAGGTGTATGTCGTGTATGTGTATTAAAAGAGTCAAAATAGCTGTCACTTCCATTTATGCTATCTATTCTAGTTGTTGTTGCTGTTGTTTGCTGTTTCTGTTTAAAAAGGCAAGGGAATGTGTATGCATTGACATTTATATCTGACTGCAAATGATTTGGCATATGCAAATGCAAGATCAATTAATTTTGTTATTAGGATGCTGTATTTTGCAAACAGTTGTACAATTGTTTTACACACAAACACACACACACACATACTTGTGTATGCAGGGGAAAAGAATCTCTGGGATTATTTTTCTGTTGAGAAGCGAAGTATTACTTGGATTTATATTGTATATTTGTTCAGCCTATTATATTCAATGCAGGGATATCCTCCTTTTGGGTAACTATGGCATTTTCAATGTGAGTATAAGCCTAACTACTAATTACAGGTAGTCCTCAATTTATACCAGTTCATTTAGTGACTGTTCAAAGGTACAACGGCACTCTAAAAAGTGACTTACGGCCATTTTTCACACTTAAGACCATTGCAGGATCCCCATGGTTACATGATCAAAATTCAGACGCTTGGCAACTGTCTCAGATTTATGACGGTTGCAGTGTCCTGGGGTCATGTGATTGTCTTTTGTGACCTTCTGACAAGCAAAGTCAATGGGAAGTCAGATTCGCTTAACAACTGAGTTACTAACTTAACAACTACAATGATTCACTTAACAATTGTGATAAGAAAATCATAAAATGGGGCAAAACTTACTTAATTGTCCCACTTAGCAACATAATTGGGCTCAATTATGGTCATAATTCGAGGACTAATTCACTGTATTCCATAAGAGTATCTTATTCAATCACCCCAACCATTTGAAACTTATTGTCATTTTGGCTGTTATCAGTACTTTTCCATTCTTCCAAAGCAACTGCAGCTTTCAAATATTGAAATAAGGGCTGGAAATTACTGAAATAATACTGGTTTCTAATTTTCCATCATCAGAGATTGAACAGTCTACTGGGTGCCCACTAACGTATTACTTAGTGCTTTCCAAATACTTTATGCTAACTTTGTCTTATTCTTTTAATTAAAAATAATGGGGAATCATGCATGCTGCAAATTGAAATACCATCTTGAGCATAACCTGAATTTCCAATAATGTATTTTGGGGGTCTCCTTTCCCCTCCCCCCAACTTTCTTAGGAAATAAAATCAGAGGATTCTCAATTTTCCTTCTGAAAAATGGACATTTTGTGATTGGCTGCATCAATCTTAACCACCACTTTGTGAGAGAGACCATATCAAACTTGCAAAATTCCAAATTATGTCCACTATTCCCAATACATTAACTAATAAAACATGAAGCAAATTAACTGCTGGTCATGCCATTTGTAGTATTTGATATACTTAATTTAGACAGTAATTTTATGTCCTTTGAAATTTACAGGAGATTTTTAAAAAGAAATTATAAAGTTGGGATTAAAACTGATAGAATTAATGAAGCACACGTACTGGATTTTACTCTTTTTTTTAACATTTATTGATTTAGGTATGTTTCTCAGCCATTAATTCCAAGATTCACATTCACTCAGGGTTACAGTCAGGGGTGGGATTCTACCAGTTTGCACCTATTCGCTAGAACCAGTTGTTAACATTCTAAGCAGTTCGGAGAACCGGTTGTTAAAAGAAATTACTGGCCTAATCCTGTAAGGAAGGCAGGAAGGAAACATTCTGGTATTGCTTACAGAAATTGCCTCTCCGTTAACCCTTATTACATTCTTGGCAGGACTAGACTTCCTGTCACAGGAACTTCTCTGGAATTTTTTTCCCCTCCTTTGTGGTACTTTGCTTGTGTGGAGTGACCATTCAAAGTTACAATGGCACTGAAAAAAGTGACTTATGACCATTTTTCACACTTACGACTGTTGCAGCATCCCCACAGTCATGAGAGAACAGGCAAGGAGATGCGTGCCTTGATGTGAGTGATATTGAGTTGGCCACGCCCAGCCAATAACATGACCATCAAACCACGTCCACCCAGTCACATGACCACCAAGCCATGCCCACCAACTAAGCCACACCCACAGAACTGGTTGTTAAAACATTTGAATCCCACACTTACAGTATATATATATGCTCTGCACAGAAAGTCAATAGTATCTGTTTTGAATCTTTTTTATGCTTTTCTTATTATTTTAGAATATGCGCATACGATCTGTAAGTGGAGATACATACTATAGTAAAGCTGGCAAGAAGCTTACAGGACAAGCCCTTGAGAAATTTGTGTTGATAGACTGTGAACAAGTGCTTGCAGGGACTTACAGGTGAGATATAACAAGTATAGTTCAGAATGATGTCATTTGCAAAGGGCATTGTCTGTTTGTCTAAAGGTTTCTGGGACTAATATGTTCAAACTCAGAGTGATTACAGGATATGATTTTTTTTTAAAAGCCAAGATTCCAGAGTTTGTATTGCACAGTTGCAGCTAGCAACTTGATTTTTTTAACCATGCCTTTTAAATACCCCTGCCTTAACAAATGTAGCAAATTATTTAAATTATTATTTAAATTACTTTTATTTAAAAATTACAGTGCTTTGTATCCTTCTTATGGGTCAGGTGTCTAAGATTGTTCTAGTGGTACTCAAAACTGTGTATCTTCCATTTTAGGGGAAGGGAAATGAAATTTGCAAATGGTGAATATGCTATTTGTAAATGTACAAAACATATTAAAACATACATAAAACAAGACTTTTTTGAAAATGTGTCTCTTATAACAGGAGTTTAGGATTCCAATTTTAAAACACATTCTAACTCCTATCCCAGCCCCACAGTCTAATACTTTTCAGATATTCTGAAAAGGTGGCAGAAGAGGAAATCTCAACAGTTGGAAAGAATATGTTTAGGAAAAAGCATTCTAGGATAAATGCCTATTAAGTGGTATTGCATTTCCTCCCCAAAAACAAGTACAGGAGCACATTATAATATTGCAAATATATATATATCCTTAAAGTGAAATAAGTCCTAGGGAATTTTGCTCCCCCTAATGTTTGTCTTGTACTAGCTCCAAGGAATGGAGAGCAGCATACAGAGAGTCCTTGCTTAATGGCCCTAATTGGGACCAGAATGTTTATTGCTAAGCAAACAATTATTAGCAACAAACAAACAAAATATCACATGACTGCACTGCTTAGAGGTTCACTACTCCTGATTGCCATTATTAGGCCAGCACTACATGGTCATTAGGCCAGGACATCATGCTGCCCTGCTACGCTCACCTTCCTTTCAGCTCTACCTGCCTGCCTTTCTCTTCCCATCTCTGTTCATTTGGCTGCCTTGCACTCTGCCTTCACCCATATCACCTGCACTCCATTGCCCTTACTACCCCCCCACACACACACCTTGGCTATCTTCTTCCACCCAGTACTGATGAAGTGCTCCTGGTCTGGCTCTTTGTGAGCTGCTGTTTTCTGAAGCTGCATGTGGAGGCCTCAAGAAGGCTGTGTGTGCCCAGCTTCTGCCTCACAAAGGGCCAGGCTGGGCATGCTTCAGCTGCAGCAGGAGGAAGAAGTGAAAATCAGCTGTTTCCAGTGGCAAGGAGTGGCAGAGGCAGTGGAGGGCAGGACAGTCAAAAAGCGGAGGTGGCGAGGAGTGATAGGTGGGTGAGTAGAGTTGAAAAGTGCCCGGTGGTTGTAAATAAGGGTGGGCTGCCAAAACTCTGGATTCTGATCATGTGACTGCAGGGGTGCTTCAATGGCTTTGAGGACCAGTTATAAGTATTCTTCACTCAGGATCATCACAAATTCAAGTGATCATTGAACAACAAATGGTTATTGTGAGGGCTACTTGTACAAAACTTCATATTTTAAAAATAAGCTTGTGCTAGGTTGAGACATGTCTCAGGATCTCCCCAATTTATTTCCAAGTAAATACATATAAAACCACAGTGACCCAAACTTCCACATAAAAATACATCCTGGTTGACTCAAATCAAGTCATTATATATGTTTGCTTATTTAATATTCATATATTTATTTTTAAAAGAATATTAGATGGCTGCTTTAAGTTATAGATGATAATCCTAGGTGGCTCATATCAACATTTCATAACAAAAAAAATAAGCCCCAAACCCTGCAAAAGATGTAACATTTCCCACCAAAGTGCCACAGCATCCCAAGCTAAGAATGGGGAGGGGGGGGGTTATCCAAATTTCATGGGGGAGACTTTTGAAAAGGACTGGGGTAGCCGTAGAAAAGATGTGTCCCCAAGGCCCTACCGGATGGCATTTAAGGAATGGTACCTGGAACATGCCCACCCTATCTCATCTGGTAGAATGGGCAGATACCTCCAAGGAGGATCAACCCTGTAAATAATTTACAGGGCTATTCATCTAATGAATGGGCTCCTGGGCAGTCAACGGAAGTGAGAGCATAGTGCATAGTCCAAATGAATTTTTAAAAAATCAAGTTAAGGCTCCTATAAAAACGTCATTGCTAGTGTGTCACATTGTTAAATATTAACAATTTGGCCCTAGTACCTGGTGAGAAGTCTTCACAGCCTTTGGAAAACCAACAGAGTTGGGTCTGTGCATATCTCTTGGGGATAGCATGACAAAGAAGTCATGCTTCCCAAAACACTGCTTCACCGATAGGACCTGGAACCTCCCTCCTCTTCCAGATCAGGTGGGACAGGGGAAATCATTGTGGATAGGTTGTTAGACAAGTACCATGCCATGTAAGACTTTAAAAGTAACAACCAGCATTTTGAATTATATATGGAAGCCTACTGGGAGTCACTGCAGCTCACACAGCAGCAGCACTAGAGTGGTGTACTGTGATACACCCAACACACTACATTTTGGACTAGCTGTAGCTTCCAAATGCTCTTCAAGGGCAGCTCCATATACAGTGAGTTACAATAGTCCAATTGTGAGATAACTAGGATGCAAGTAACCATGAGCAGTGCCTCCCCTCCTGGTCCATCTGCCACCTCTTCCAGGAGAATCCCTGGATCATGAACCAACACTGCCTGAGAAAGTGTCACCTCACCCAGTCAGTACATTTACTTTCAAGTACCTCCCCCTGCAAGAAATGATACAGCACAACAGCACAATATTCATTTTACAAATTGTACTAGTTAACATTCAGTTATTTTTGCCTTAGTTGCCAACCTTTGACTACATTTTGAAGGGAAATTGTTTTTCTTTGCATTAATTGCAACTACTTCCTTGATTGATAATGCACACTCCACCTAAACAATCTACACTTGACTCATCACACAAATATTTAATAGCAGCTTTATCTTTATCTTACCTTTTTACTTACAGGAAGCCTGCCAACTCCATGCCATGTTACCATATTACTCCGTCTCAAAGTATCTTAGTGTATACAATATATCATCCCAAAACGTTGGCTTTAAAAAAATTCCAGTGGGAAGTTGACCATGGTTATATAATTTGGCAGTCTGGTCTGTTTTCAAGGGATTTGGGGATTAGATATCACTGATAATTTGATTAAAAATCCCCTACCAAGGATTATATTTTCTGAGATTAATAAAATTATTTTTCTGTATCATTTTTAAATGCTCAAGAATTCTTCTCACTCATATCATTTTGTAACTCTTCTCTAAATGAGCTCCAGTCACACTGGGTGGCTATAGATCTCCTCTTTAGCCATAAGTATGACCTTTGAAATCTATAATTAGCTTGCAACTAATTTCTTATAATTCTTATGAGTCTGTCATTTAAATGTTTATCTATAATGATTTAACCATAATAACTTGTTTGCATGCTCAGCTATTACCTTCATTTATTGCCTAATATAGTATAAACACACATATACACTAATCTAAGATTTTGACCATCAAACTGTTCCACTTATTATTTTCTCAATGCTTTAAAATACACTGTTGTATTGCAGCAATAGTGCTAAAGATATTCTGATAAATATACTTAAAATAGTACTAATGTTGTAAATGAATATTATTTATTGTCCAATAAATTTTCAATATTTTAAATGTGCACAGTTTAATTATATGTTGATGTTTCATGTTGTCCCTGAATTATTTTCATTTCAGTTTTACATGGCTCTGCAGCCAGGTACATACCTGTTTAGTGATGCACTTCAAAGGAAAAATTGTTGATGATTTTGACAGAGAGTTCCGATGTATATATGCTGAATCTAGATCAGTGAATCAACTTGGAATCCCCACTGCTGAAAATTCCACACCTTTTCCTTACAAGACCATGCAGAAATTTGACCCCATTTTAAAACATATTCAACAGAATGAATATGAAGCCCTCAGTCCATCAAGCACCCTTTCAACTTGCAGTGTCGTGACCATCAAGAAATCACCATATGATAACCAATCAATTTCCAATGTATACTGTGAAAAGAAGGAATTAACACCAGGTGAAACAAGAAAAACCATTTCAGGCTTAATGGGACATGACTTGAGATACCAGCCCAGGGAGTCTCCAGACTCTAACTGCAGTATATTAGATAAATTAAAGCCTCCACTCAATGATGCTTCTAATTTATTGAAACTTAAGACATCTTTGCTATCAGTATCTTCACCGATATTAGCTGACAACATAGGAAATGGACATCTTCCTGACAATATTGGAACAAAAGATAACAAGAAGTTCCTTTATACTCAACCAGTTGAAAATGCAAGCAAACTACATAAGAATGATAAATCAGTAACTCATGGATACAACAAATTAGAATTCATTAACAACCCTATTAAATCTATAAATTATGAAATAAAGGGCACAGTTCCTAGATTCCTTGATGGCTCTGATGATATGCCAATGGAGAACAACAGCAACATAAATAGGACTGAAAAAAGGATGACACTTGGTCACAGCAAATTGGATTTGATTACTAACTATAGTAAATCAAAGTCAAAAGCAGTTCATAGTCGATTTGAAATGTAATCTAACAAAAATATCTCAAATGTGGAATGAAACTATAATAATACATCAGATTTATAGCTCAAAATATTGGGAAAGTTTAAAGAAGCTTAATAAAGCCAGAAAAACGATCACATACCTGTGAAAGAGATTTAAGATTGTTACTACTTACGGTACCTCTAGAGTTAATTTGAAAAGACATGCATTTTGAACATTGAAATTGTCTGGTATTTTTTCCTTACAGAAATAATGAGGATTCTTCATAATTCAGAATTCCTGAAATACTGGAGAGGCATGTTTAGAACAAGGCTATTTCTCAGTTTAATAGCTTGGGGTGTGTGGGGGGGAAAGGAAATACATACCAATGTAAATAATTTGATGAATATCACTATGTAAATAAAATAGTGTGTGTGTGTGTGCGCGCGCGTGCGCGCACACACACACACACACACAAACAATTTGGTTTAAAGGGTTGGTAGAGTGTTTATAATGCATCTCTTTGATAAAAGCACACCTCTCAATCTCCCAAAGTGGATTATTCTGCAATTCTGTTTAAGATAGATAGAACTACAGAAATCCACATTTACAAAGTAGCAGAAAATAAAGAACTGCAGAAATCCTATTATATAATTCCTAATTTCCTTTTAATAGTACTGCTCACTCAATTGATCAGTACACCATACTCAATACAGAAATCCAAATTACAATCACCCTGACATAGAAAAAAACCTCTTGGTTGTTTCCTTCTGTAGCAAACATGACAGAAATAGGAAAAGACAAGTAAAATGCAATTCTTAGTTTAAATATCAGAACACTAACTATGCAATTAATAAATCTAATCTCTTTGCCGCAGCAAAAAAATTGCAAAAGTATTTTGGCAGTTATATAAGAAAGAAATATCAATAATATAATGATTGCATTATATGATAAATAACATGAATATTAATTGACTTTTGTCTTAGAATTTTGTTTACAAACTGGAAAACTAAGATACATTGTGTTAATTCTGTTCATATGCTATATGCTTTAAATACATTAATATATAACATTGTAATTAAAAATCAATCAGATCTTAATAATGGGTTTATACAATCAAAGCTGAGCTCAATTTATTTCCACTATAAGTAACTTCAGAAGAAGAAGCCATTTTCTGAGCAGAAAAAAGTGATGTTCTAGGAAGTCCTCTGAACTCAAAAGGCAGTGTTTTTTGAATACTTAAGTATATGTCAGCAGTTAAACATTTTATCTTACTTTGTATGGAAGAACAAATTGTCACCACTGACATTTGTTATTTCTGAAAATCAAGATTTGATATGCTTCCTGAGGGAGTTTAGTTTAACCCAGATTTTTAAGATTTCATGAAGGAATCACAAGAAAAGCTATGATTGTTTTAATAATACATTTAACATTGTTTTAATTTCAAAAACTGGAAGTTCTGTCAATAGCAATTAAATGTATAAATGCCCTAAGAACTCCTCTTTCTTTTTTCTTCTCTCTTGCTCTCCTTGGCTCTTTCTCTCTCTGGTTAATCATAACTTTGACAATGTATAATGTGATGGTGGTTTTGAAATAAACAGTATTCTATGTTATTTGTTTAACTATCATCTACTAAATAAAGTATAGAGGTTATATGCCAAAAATATAGGCTATAAAAATAAATAACTCTATCTGGAACAACTCTGTTTTGAGGTAACCAAGTCCAAATAAAGTGAGGAGGGTTGGGCGTAGTCCTACCCCATAAAACTAAAAATTGCTAAAGAAACTGCAAGCAATCATCAACAAGAGCATGAAGATGTCAAACCATGGCATGATGGCGTTGAGGTAAAGCTGAAAGGCCATCCAATGGTTGACTGTAGATTGATACAGTGCAAAATTTACAACACAAATTGCAACATGGAAAGTTCAATTTTCATATCAATGTAGGAAACTCTCACAAGTGCTATGCAAATTTGACAACTATGATCTTCATCTTTTGGGCATTAGCAATACCAGATGGACTGGGAGTGGTAGACTTACCAGAGATGGGAAGATTTCTTGCCTCAGTTGTTAAGGGAATCAATGCAGTTAAGTTAGTAACTTGGTTCCACATTGACTTTGCTTGTCAGGAGGCCACAAAAGGTGATCACATGATCCTGGGAAACTGCAACCATCATAAATATAAGCCAGTTGTCAAGTGTTGAATTTTACCATGTGAAAACAGTCATAAGTCACTTTTTTCAGTGCCGCTGTAACTTCGAATAATCACTGAATTAATGGTTGTAAGTTGAGAACTATCTCTGCTCTGTGGCAACTTCCAACTTGTGCTATTTCTCTCCAAATTCATTTGTAAAACCAAACCCAGCTCTCAAATCATAAATTTACAGTAGGGTTCACATTGTGATAAACCCTGTGATAAGTAGAGATATTATAGCTGGACTATGAAACTCTAAAAGTGTGTATCTCAACCTTAATTTTAAGGTGTGTAGCTATAGGCAGATGCATCCTTTTGATGCAGACTTTAAAGCATTGCACAGTCCTATTAAATCTGTGATTAGGAAATAATTATATTCATTATAACAATTTTAATTAGAACATGAACTCAAAGCAAATTAGTCCACCCAATAATTTTTAGAGTATGACCTGATACACATCAGCCCATGTGCAGCTCTTGACCCAAAATACCTGAGCTGTAAAGCCTAAGGTTATAGTCTTATTAGCATAAAATTAATCCACTCTTGAAATCAGCTTTTCTGTATCTTCATGCTCCCTGTCCATTCTGTCCTTTTCCATGGTAACTCTTATCAGGAATGAGGTGATTTTATTATTTCCATACAGCTTACCATACAGTGTAAGCCTATTTCTATACAGTACATTTATCTATGGTTAGTCCGAATTAAGGGATTACAAGGTCATAAAAAGGGAGATTTAGTCATTTAACCAATGCTGTGAGCCTATATAACACACTGCATTAACTGATTTACTCAGTATACTGAACTAAAAAGTAGTTGGCTAGTTTGTACTTAGTTTGTACATCATGCAAACACAACTTCAGTAGTACTATATGAGGATTTACAGTGAAAGTAATAGTGGATTTCACAAGCAAAAAAAAAAATCTCTGGTATTTACATCAATGTATGTTATTTGTGTGGTTAAGTAACTTGTGCTAGGAAGGTGCCGCAGATGACTTACTCTTTGATTTAAAGGGGCAATTGGGAATAAAAAACATCATTCCCTCCAACAAGATTATTAAACTGTGGTTACATAAATACAACAAACACATTCTTGCCAACTGCAGAGTTCAGTATCTGTTTGTAGCCCAAATTTGTCTTCCCCGTTTGGCCAGGCAATAGGTTAGTGCTAACTAGTTAGCACAACACATTTGAGCCACAAACTAATCAAGAATATTTTACTTTACTGTTATGCAAACTCAGCAATTCAAATCCAGCAAATGGGTGTCATTCAGTGGATACTACATTATTCTGTTGCATTAGGAACAGCTCAGTAAGTTCCCTTTCTGTTGAATGCAGGTCAAAAAAAGCCCCTATGGCTCATAGAGAGTTTTATATGCCCTCCTTTATATTGAACTACAATAGTATTTTTTCAAACTTGTCAATTTTTAACACGTGTGGATTTCAACTCCCAGAATTCCCCAGCCAGCAATTCTGGGAGTTGTAGTCCACGCATCTTAAAATTGTCAAGTTTGAAAACACTTTGATGTACACAAGTTGTCCCTATTAGGTCTCTGGGATCTGTAATCCAAGATGTCTGAAGCACTTGGGGGAGGGGGGGAACAAAGGGAGACCAACCCAAATCACAGTGCTTGTACATGGCTTGCACCAGGCAGCTCTTGCATTAGGCAGTGCACTGACAGAGCAAGGGGCCCATTCAGCCACTTCCTCAATGATTGGTATGGAGAGTCATGATGGAACAGAAAATAATGATTTTTAAAAAATTATTAATATAATTAGTTCCAAGTTCATATTAGTATATTTTATAATGATGAAGTTTCACTTCCAAAACAGTACCTTAGTTTTCACCAGAAACACAGGAATCACTCTTTGACCTAGGATATGGTTCCAGGTGGTGAGGCACAACCAACCAGAATACTGTTGGAAGTTAAAACCCACCCTTCTCCTAGAAAATTGAAATATCCTAGGAAATATTAAAAAGGCAGAATATTTCCCCTAAAAAAGAGTAGAAACTCAGAAGCAGAAAGTCACCTCAGAAGCAGAAACTCAGCCCGCCCCCCCCGCCCCCAACTTTGCTAATGGGGCATTACTCTGGTCTAGGCCAGCCTATTTTACCTACCAAAGATCTCCAGGTAGAGCTATAATAGGAATTGCCCAAAGTCCTTTCATTATTACATCATCACCCAGCAAGGCTCAAACAAGCCTGGGATTCAGGACAGCTTAGAGTTGCCCCTGCATGGCCCCATGGGAGTCTGACAACCAATCAGAATACAAGCTCAAATTCAAATCCCAACAGATGGTATAAAACAGGCACTTTCAGCATCTCAGCCCTTCCTTCTTTGGAGCTCCAAGCCATGTGGTCCTGTCCACCATTAAACCATCTTTCCAAACAGCCTCCATGTTTCCAGTGTCTTTTCCCCCAGTTGGAATTGAACCCAGAAAGATAATTCTTCCAACAATACAAAAACATTTTCCTCTCTATTAATATCCTTTTCCCTTCCCCCACTTTATTGCTACTGCTGGTATCAGCAATTCTAGCAGAATTCTCTAAACAGCTATCTGCTTTGCCCATTAGAAAACCCCTGTCAGTTTCTCCCCCAAGAGACTGTTCCAGAAGGACAGAGGAAGTGATGGCCACCGTGCATGGAAGGATCCAGCAGAGATTAATGGGGGCGGCAGTTTAGGAGGGCTCTGACTTCATCAGGGCAGTCACTCTCAGCCCAGCCCATCTCTCGGGGGTGTGGGGAAAACAGGAAATACCACCTTGAGTTGACATTTATTTGTATCTGCCTTTTAATTTATGAAGAACAAGGTGACGAACATACCTAATAATACACATTAATACATAAATATAAGTCAATAGTGGTCTGGGCATATACATTTATTTTATACACATGTTGCACACACAACTGCATGTCTATATCTGTTTCGTGTGTGTGTGTGTGCGTGTATTAAAATGAGGGAGATGGGTGGTAAAAGAGTTTAACAAATAAATACGTATTTACATACATTTACATTCTCTCCCTCTCTCTGTGATGTCTCTGTATATGGTGTGTATGTATACGTGACAAAATCTAACCACCGTCATGGCTCAAAGTCTCTGAGAGGAGACTTTCTCGTTCTGGCGGCTGAAAGAAAAGGACAAAAAGGAACATCTTCTTTTGGCAAGCGCCCCAACAAAGACACACTTTGTGTCGGCGATGTGGATCCATCTCCAGAAGTCCACCTGTGGAAAATGGGGATATCCCGCTAAACGCAAGAGAAAGTATAACTGGAGTGCTAAGGCCAAAAGGCGCAATACTACTGGGACTGGCCGTATGAGGAGGCATCTGAAAAAAGTACCGAAGATTCAGGAATGGACTCCGTGAGGGAACAGCGCCCAAGCCCAAGAGGAGCCAAAAGGCGGGGCCGTCTCTCCCCCTACAGGTGGAGTAGAAAAGCTCCGCCTCTTTGCTCTCATCCAGCGGCGCCCGGAGTTTCGCACTCCGGATCCGCCGCCCTCGCTCCCTCCCCCCCCCCGCCCGCACCTTTTCTCAGTTTGGTGGGCGGAAGCTTCCGGGAAGAGAGATTTCCCCCCCCCCACACCAAAAGGAGAGCCAAGGCGGGGTTGCAGTCATCCAATCAGCACCAACCCGGGTGAGATGACATCACAAGCGGAATAACGTCACTATCCGTTTCCGGGCAGTGGTCTTCGAGGCCTGTCCTCGTGTGGCGGGCCGGCGGACTCGCTTTCTGCCTGTTTTTTCCTCCTGTTTTTGCCGGGTCTTTGACGGTTATGGCGGTCCGGGCGAGCTTCGAGAACAACAACGAGATCGGCTGCTTCGCCAAGCTCACCAACGCCTACTGCCTGGTGGCCATTGGAGGCTCCGAGGGCTTCTACAGGTCGGCCTTTTTTCTCTTCCTCCCCTCCGGATCTTCGGCCGGATTTGCTTTGATTATCCGACAGGCAATAAATTTAAAGAAAAATAAGTGGGAAAGGCGGCAGGGCCCTTCCTTTTTATACCGAAAGAGCCCCATTGGGCCTTTCCCCCACCCTTCTGAGCTTATGACTTGCAGCCTCTTTTGAGACCGGTTGGGTGGGGCAAAACCAAGCAGACAAAAATGACGGCTAAATCGGGGTCAGCACCAGTGAAGGCCTGCTCTTTTACTTATGGCCACAATTGAGCCCAAAATTCTTTTGAGTTTTGCCCTAATTTACGACTTTTCTTGCCACCTTTGTTAAGTGATTCCCCGCCGTTATTATATTAACAACATGGTTGATAAGCGAATCTGGTTTCCTCATTGATTTTGCTTGTCAGAAGGTCACAAAAGGGGATCACATGACTCCAGGACACTGCAACTGTCATAAATGTGAGTCGGGGGAGGCTACAGTGGGCATCAGTGTGAAAAATGGTCATGTCACATTTTCCAGCACTGTTGTAACTTTGAACCGTCACTAAATGAACTTGTAAGTCGAGGACTACTTGTACTGAATAGGTTTGATCACAAGATGTCGGTAAGGCAAGTTCTCTGCAAATTGCCCCTTTATTAAAGTCTTCAAGCATGTTTGAATTGAACTTCATGATCTTCCTCGCATGTTTAAATCTTACTCTGTTGTGTTTTAGTGTATTCGAAGGAGAGCTTTCTGACACCATTCCTGTAATTCATGCTTCTATTGCTGGATGTCGAATCATTGGCAGAATGTGTGTAGGTAAGCTGCTTTATTCATATAAATTATTTTGAGTTTCCTTTAAAATGCAGAATTCTCATCCCATTTTATCCTTAATATATTTTGACAAGTAGTTTGACTACCTATAGTTTGTAATATTTCAAAAAAGGAATGCAAGCTGCTATTGCGCTCTTCATTTATAAAGTCTAATGGTGCTGTTGAGTTCTGCTCATGTTTATCCTGATAGCTTTTTAGATCATTAGAAAAAGTTTAAAGGTTTTTGCTTACCATTAGAAATGATACCAGGCTCTGGAATTGAAACATTAACAATAATACTATGGGATTGTATTCGACAATCTTTTTATGTTAATGGGAAAACATTCATATAATTTGGATTCAGTCTGTGGGCTCTCATTGCATCAATTCCTAGAGTTTCTGGGAAGATGGAGAAACTTATTATCTAAGTGCCTACAGAGATTAAATAGGGAGGATGGGATGGGGTTCTCATCACTGCCTTGTTTATTTTCAAAATTTTATACATTATTGTAAGAGGTGCTAATGAAAATAACGTGTTGTTTTGTAATATAAAGCCGATTAATCGTCCTTTTAAATTCATGGTTGCCCATTCCCATTTACTATCTTGTTCAGCTATAATACTTTCATTAAATTCAATTTTATGCCTGACAGTGGTAGTGGAATTGAGAGAGGTGATAAATAAGCAGAACATTGTTCTTTTTTTCAAATATATGCTTGCATTTGTGCTGTGGATAGAAAACCAACTCTGGCAGTACTATAAATTGTTGTAGGTCAGATACTGTTAAAGAACATTGATTAGATTCATCATGTCCTGAGTTATTACTTTACGGCATAGAATGTTGGAGATAGGAATTGAAGGCAATTTTTTTTCCCTATATTTTAGGTAACCGGCATGGTTTACTAGTCCCAAACAATACTACTGACCAGGAACTTCAGCATATTCGAAACTGCCTTCCTGACTCAGTGCGAATCCAGAGGGTGGAAGAACGTCTTTCTGCATTGGGCAATGTCACTGCATGCAATGACTACGTAGCACTTGCCCACCCAGACATCGACAGAGTAAATATAAAAATAAATCATAATACTAAACATTATATTTGCAGTAACTAAACTTGAACAACAGTTTAATGTTTTTTGTGCTGAATGAATGATAATTAAGACTGGTCCTCAAGGTTTCAGTCATTGCAACACCCCCAGGGTCATGTGATTGAAATTTGGGCACTTGGTTACTGTTCTGCATTTACAATCTTTGCAGTGTCCCAGGGGCATATTCTCCTGCCCTGTGCAAAACTGCCTTTGCATCAAGTTTCTTCGCTCACCTTTCTCCCACTATCTCTGTTGTTTGACTGTCCGTGCACCTATGCTACCTATCTCTGTTGCCTCCCATTCCAACTGACCTTTGCTCTGTTCCTTCTGCTGATGGTTTGGATCCAGGTGCTGGGCCCAGGTCATGTGCAGCTACCACAGCAGGGTGGCAGAACTTCATCTGCAGAAGGGAGCTTGCCTGTCCCAGTCAGGAGGAAGAAGTAGGACAGAACCAGTAGTAGAGGGCAGGGGTACAGAAGAGCTAGATTTGCCACAGCACAAGAAGCAATAGTGTGCAGAGTGCTGTGGGGTGGAATGGCAAGATGCAGCATGTTCTGTTGTTGTGCAGTGCAGCAGAGGCTACGGTACCCCAGGTGAAGGTAGTATCTGCATGTGGGTGCTGTTTGGGGTGAAGACAGAACTGGAGAAAGTAGAGGGACGGGCTTCCCAAGGTGCAATGTGTGCTCTGCAGCGCAGATTGGAAGTGCTTCTGGAGAACTTACTGCAATAAGATCTCTGGGTGGATGCTGGAGCCATTCCTACAGGAGGAAGGTTACATCCAGCTGAGAAGACTACTGGCACTTTGCAAGGCCTTGCAGGAGGCAAGTTTGACTGAGCAAGCAGAGGACTTGTAGGTAAGCTCTGTCAGCACTGGACTCAACTCTTTGCTGAAGCCTGCAATTCCTCTGCTCACTCAGCCTCACTTCTAAAGTGAATACAGAAGACTAATGTAGTTGAGCTGCCCCACTAGCAGGTGTGAAGGCAAATGCTGCACACACACATTGTCTCAAAGAAGCTTGTATACTAACCATGCAGGTAAATAACTTTGCTATAAGGTTTATGATACAGAGACACAGAAAAACATGTCTCAACATGAAGAAAAGAATTGGGAAATAAAAAGTGAGGAAAATAGAAACCTTCTGTCTCTTACCTTTACTGACATGCCCTGTTAGTTACTTTCTCAGTCACTGTTAATGTGATCGTGTTTCATGATTATTTCATCTTTGAATTATTACATATCAGACATCAGGAGTATGCAATGAATATACCATAGCTGAATGTAAATATATCTGCATATGTAAATACATATGGGTGAATTGTTTTATGGAATGTAGCTTCTTTAAAAAAAAATCCTTTTTGGAGAAGTAATTATATTCAGGTTAGTGGCCTTGCTGTTAATTCTCTTGAATGTTTGAGCTGGAAGGATGTAGTGTGAAGGTTGTATCCATTGTTAGGCTCCTGCAGTGGTATTAAATTGGCAGCCCACGGGCTGGATGAGTCTCACTCAAGCCACTTCCACCCTGGCTCTGCAGAGGCAAAAAAATGTGATATATCATGTGACATGATGAGTTTGACTTCCATGGGTTACTGGAAAAAGTAAAGCTGGAAGCAATTGCACAAGTAGTCCGACAAGTGCAAGCATGATTGATCCTAATGGAATAGTTTTTATAAGCGGTATCAAAGTTTTGGATTTGGTATTTGAGCTAGAGTGAAAATGGATTGTACAATTAATTCAAGAGTGATGATTTTGGGCACAAGTCCTAGAAATAGGAATTATAATTAGTAGAATAAAAAAGGGAAGATTTGGGAGTTACTTAAATTTCATTTAAAGACTTCCTAGGTGTGCCTTTAATGTCAGGTGCCCAATATTTCTATTTTGACATCCTGTCTTCAGATGTTGTAGCACTTGGCTGGTGCAAAGAACTGGAGAAATGCCAGACTTTGGAATGAATGCAACCTCAAGGATATCTAGCTTCAATACAGTTTTCAGTTGATGGGACTTTAAAATACTTCATATTCTAGCAATCTAAAGATACAAAATCTGTTTGAAATAGGTTTACAAGATTTAGTTGATAGCTAATCAATGTTGCCACTAAATAGGCATTTCAGTTACTTTTTATGATCACTTAAAATCAGATAAATGTGTTCTAACCAGCCCTAACGTTAAATCTCAATTTTTTTCCATAGGAGACAGAAGAGATTTTAGCCGATGTATTAAAAGTCGAAGTATTCAGACAGACAATAGCAGACCAAGTACTTGTGGGAAGTTACTGCACATTCAGCAACCAGGGAGGATTGGTACACCCTAAGACTTCTATAGAAGATCAGGATGAGCTTTCCTCATTGTTGCAAGTCCCCCTTGTGGTAAATGTTTTTTCTGTTCAAATCTTGAGAGTGTTCAGTTACTTTAAACTATATTTTGAGCCAAATTATAGAATCTTAACATCTTATGACTTGGGAATATATTCGTCGACATTTTTTATCCATCTATATGCCACTGTAACTTAACTGTAACTCAGAGCTGAAGAAGCTTCTCGGATGAGAAGTGAAAAGTTTTCAAAGAAAAAATCAGAAAGCCAGTTGCCTCTTGAAAAAGCACTTTTGGGATAATCATGATCTGGATGACTGAGTGCAGGAGATCTCTGTCTATGGTGTTTCTAATTGTTTCAGTATTTTTCTTTCAACTTCTTTTTGGTTTAAATAGTGTTATGTGGTCTTCTCAGTATAAAGAAATAGACAGCAAAACAATTATTTCCAAATATGCATGACCTATTGAAGCCTAATCCTAAACGAACCATAAAATTAGGAACAGTGAAAATTTAGATGAACAATGCCAGTGGGGAGACATTGAGTACTACATCTGGTATAGCTGTGTTACTTGTATTTACTAGCATATGACCATCATTCCAGTGGGTTCACACATTTTGCTGAGCTATGATTTCTAACCATGATTTATTTAGTGGCTGTGTTCATAACACTAAGCCAGAATGCATGGTTTGGAAAATGAAGAAAACTGCCAGTGCAATGACTATTGAATATCAGGAATGTTGTGCATGCCTACTAAAGGCTTGGCCCTCTGATCTGTTTAAATCAAGGTCTTCAGACTTGGCAAGTTTAAGACTTGTGGACTTCAGTTCCTGAGTTAACATGACTGGAGGAGGAATTCTGGGAGTTGAAGTCAACAAGTCTTAAAGCGATCAAGTTTGAAGACCCCTGATTTAAATAGTTATAAATAAGATTTATATTCATGCAACCTTAAGCAAGAAGAGCTGATAATACATGAGAAAGGAGTCCTTAAGACACTAGTTATCTTTCTTACCAGGCTGGAACTGTTAATCGTGGCAGCGAGGTGATTGCAGCTGGAATGGTTGTGAATGATTGGTGTGCCTTCTGTGGCCTGGACACAACCAGCACAGAATTATCTGTTATTGAGAGTGTCTTCAAACTTAACGAAGCACAGCCAAGTACCATTGCTACCACTATGAGAGATTCTTTGATTGACAGGTAAGTCAGATATTAATCTACTTTCAAAATTATTAGCGATTGATAGTAGCCAGAATATATACTAATAATACTAATACTTCAGTAGTCTTATGTTTCCAATCTTCTGGAAATCCCAAGGGATTCAGCATTCTAAGAAGATGTATAGTACTGCTTTCTTGTTAATAATATGTAAATGTATTTTCCCCCTCTTCCACTTGCTTGTATCTGCTCCCAAGAAGAGCACATAGTGCTTAATTGCTGGTAAAGGCAAAAAAAAACAAAAAAACAATTGTTCACTGACATGATATGTCAAGTCAACTGGATAGAAATAGTTCATTATTATTATTACAAGAAGTCCTCACTTAATATTCAAAATTGGAATCAGTAATTATATTGCTAAATGATGTGATTAAGTGAGACATCGCATGATTGCGACTTGTGATTTTTACTGCCAGCTTCTCCATTGACTGCCTGTCAAAAGCTGGCTGTGAAGTGCGCAAATGGCAAACACTAGATTGTGGAAAGCTATGACGGTTGTAAATATTCTCTGGTTGCAAAATCTTAATTACTTGATCAAAGGAATGCTGTTGTAAGTTTACATTTTCCAGTGCCATCATAACTTCATACGGTTGCTAAACAGGGCAGTCATTAAGTGAAGGCCACCAGTATTGCACTGATAACTACCATTTCTGTGCATAGAATGGCTACTTCCTAATTTTGAGACTGATGTTTTTATATGCAACTTAGTTTTAGTTTGGGGTACTGGTTTTCAATTGGACTTTGTCTGATTTTATAGATCAAATATGAAAAACTGGAACCCTTCAAGTATGTTTTTTGCTAATAATTTCTTTTCCCTTTTGTAGCTTGACATGATGTTCTCCAGAAACACTGCAGGTGTGAAATGCCAAATTGTGATAGACTGCTCACTGAAGCAAATTCATCCAGTCCAAGAAGGAGATCTCTACTACAATCATAGTTTCAAAAGCATATTATTCTAAATTCCCTTCCCTTGGCAAGCCAGACTTGAACAAGAAAAAACATTATGTTCCTTTGTTTTGTTAATGTGTTATTTTCCTTTCATTAATTCATGAGGTAAAGTTTAGAACTTGATACATACATGCAATCACAATAAGGAAAAGAATTATTATTTTTCCCAGTATTCACCAGAATGCTGCCTGAAGAATCCTGATGGTTTTCTGTTCAGAAATGGCTGGCATTTGTTTGATTTCAGTCTGGAAGTTTTCAAGATAACTTCCTTAGCCAGCTAGATCAGAACAATGTAGCCTATGTTACTATCATGCATCATTCTATATCCAAAACATAATGTTTTAAGGGGCTGAAAGAATCTCTGGAATATTTCAACAAAGCCAAACATTCAGTAAGTAAGATTTCTAGGAGATTATATAAATAGAATCTGGTTTGTCCATATGTGAAGTCACTGAAAAGTCAAAGAGAACTGTTATCTGTTCTTTAATAGAAAGTCTTTATCAGGAAAAATAGATTTAATTTGAAATGGTTATTTTTCTGATGCCTTCATGCTTATCTTTTAATATAAAAATGTATTGCTCCAATGTCTTCAAGCCAAGGTTACCATCTTAGTTGTTGCTTAAAAAAAGAACTTGCAGTTATATAATTTGGAATTAAAGACCTTTTATGATAGCAACACAGTCAGGTTAAACTTAAAGCTTTAATAAACCTTAATCCTTTGAACTAATTGGTATGGACACTGAGGTGAACTTGAAACAAGAGCTGGCTGTATCAAATTGAAGTTACATGTTAGACTGCAACTTTTGCTTTATCAATCTAGTGTACTGTAGTTTGCTGTCTTGAACATACACTAAAATGATAAAAACTCATTGCCATATATGTATTCCTTAGCAGAATCGCTTTGTATCTCCCATTTGAAGTGATGATACATGTAAGTGATCAGACTGACGCAGTCTCATCTGTTCTCTCTGTAGCTCAGGCATGACACACACACATAAAAGAATGGGGTATGCTGGAGGTAAATGAAAAATATTACATACTTAACCTTCAACTGCTGCCTATTGCTTAGCCTCTCAGCAGAATCAACCTTTGCTCTCTTGACTCATAAATGTGGACTCCTGCAGTTTTCATACACTGCTGAGAGAAGCTAGGAAAGACTTAACTCACAGTCAATATAAATTGAATATAGACTTTTAGTAGTATAAGATACTACTGTAAAATTTAGTAGGATAAGATTAGTACAAGTAGTATAAGATGACAACAGAGCTAAGTTAACTTACACTTTTGTAATAAGTTCCATTGTAGATATAGTAATCAATTAAAATATCAAGAAAGGCAATTAGTTGCTAACTATATATAGCACCCAAGGATGGCTTCGACCATGATTAAAGGCTGCAACATAAACCATAGCATCTAACTACTGAATCTTATTGAGTCCAGTGGCTTATAGCCAATCCCCAATTTATGTACTGTTTCGGAAGATCTTGCATAACTTCAGGTTGCATGTTCATCTGGATGCTGTACTATTTTGTGTTCTGTGCAAAGTTCACATTTGTATGCATTTAGAAAATGTTCAGTAAAGCTGAATTTATGTAAATCGGGTTGTACATAATCCGGGAAATGTTTGTATTTTTAAATGGGAATTTACAGGGCCAGACATTGTTTCCATCATTTGGCTCTACTTGTGGAGTGTAGGTAGAAAAGCAGTAAACTGAAATTCACATTTTTGCTATGGTAGTAAACAAAAATAAACAGTGAACTTACATTTTAGAAACTGACAAGATTTCTTGGACCATTAATGAGATAATCAGATTTTAAAGCATTTTAATGATGTGGTACAGATAATTAGTTTTAGAATGAATTTGACAAAATTGTAGCCCTTTGGAAATGATAAATTCTTTCAATAAATCTATCAGGATTTGATTTCATGAAAATTTCATTTGTATCATAGTAGAAGTGTAAAGCTTTTGTTAACAGCCGAATCTGATGTGTGACATATTCTTAACAGTGGGTGAGGTCAGGCTTCCAATATTTGTGATTTTTTTTCTCCAATGTTTTTAAAAGCACCCTAAACCTTTGCAAGGCTTAGAGCAGGGGTGTCTAACCTTGGCAACTTTAAGACTTGTGGACTTCAACTCCCAGAATTCCTCAGA